CAACAGGGGCTCAAAGTGTCTCCCACCCTTCCCCGTCCCCCCACAAGGCCACAGATCTGTCTTGGCCCCGGCGTACCTTCCCCCATGCCGCTTCCACAGCACAGATGTCTTCTCAGGCAGCTGCTTCATCTTTCTGGGGCTCAGGTGGCAAGGCAGCACGGCTGAACTCCCTGCTCTGGCCCACACTTTCTGCTCCCTGCTTTTCCCCTCTGCTACTCCTGGTAAGATGTGGCCAGCTGTAATGAGATGGGGGGTTGAGCAAAGGGTGGGACTCACGGAGCAGAGGGCAATATCTGGCCACCTTTGGTGGGGTTAGAAGGGCACAAATTCTCCCTTCCAGACCTCTCAGGGACAAGGTAACACCCCGACTGAGCTTACTGAGCTACTCTGCCCTCCCTGATACGTTCAGCCCCTCTTACCATTGAAAGCCAGCAGAATGAGGCTGAGGAACAGCACCAGGGACACCGACCTCATGGTGGCATCCAGGAGAGGTGAGAGGATGTGTCTTGCCACTCAGGTCCGTGCTTGATCAGGTCAGAAGCTTTAAGAGATCAGTAAAAATGAAGCATGTGCAGAGGAGATGTTAGAGTGGGTGGATGAACCAAGGCAGGGTCAGCTGGACGCGCTCGCTCTCGTGCTGTCTCTCTCTCTGATCAAAGCATTTCCCTAGATGCCCTTATATTGCAGGTGGGCAGTTAATTTCCTCGTATCACTAAGAAGATGCGTCACTGACCAAGAAACCATTGTAAGTCTGAGGCACGTGAAGGCAGGGCTGAAGCCAGTGAGTGGAGGGAGGGACCAGAGACACTACTCTAAGCATCTTTTAGTGGAAACTCTTTGGGTCGCTGTTGTTTTTCTTACAAGTTTCGCTTCTATATAGACAGTGGAAAAAGTGTAGAAGGCACTTCCCAGCAAGTGCCCTTCATGTTTTTCTTTCATCTCTTACCTTTTTTGGTTTGATCTTTCCGCCTCTTACAGCTTCTCTCTAATTGTTTCAGGGCTTTTGAGAACATGTTGGTCTTTTTTCTGCTGTTGTTTTTCTGTTGGGTTTTTGGTGTGGTTTTCCTTTTTCCTTCTTTAATCCTTCAAATATGCTGATTTTCTGGCTTTTTTTCATTGGCCAGTTCACAAACAGCATGAGGAAAGGTTCTATGGTAAGCTACAACCTGAGCACACGTGACCAATCAATCCAGAGTCCAGGGGCAATATGGGACAAAGCTGAGGTAGTCCGAGGAGATGGAGAAGCAGCCCAGAGAAGCAAGCAGCACTGAGAAGAGGGGTTGCACACTGTGGCACTGTGAGGGGTGTGAGGAAGGGACCCTCCTCACCCAGTAGCGCTGGGAAAACCCACCCGAGCTCATGCACTGAGGGGGCTCGTCCTAGCTCCTGTGTAGCTGCTGACCTTTTCATAGGGTAACACATTTCCAACCATGTGCCTCATCCTGGGGCCCCTTTTGCCTCAGAGAACCCCCACTGTTGTGGCTCACACTTTCCAGCAACCCACTGACTCTGACTCTTTCAGACTTAATCAGCCCTTCATGACGGGTGTCACGCACCCGAGCCCCTCGGCAGCTCATCCCCCGAGGACCAGGCTGGGGCTTTTCCTGGGAGTGAGGGAAGGGAGGTGACTCAGAGCAGCCGCTTCCTCACTGTGGAAGGATCCTTGCTCGCTCTCTAGTTTCCCTCAGCTGGGTGGTGAAGGTGGAGGATAAAAGAGAGCAAGTGGTATGCCTCACTTTAGCAGCTCCTTGTTGTGGTGATGGCTCTCTTCTCTTTTATCACACATGGCTCTTCAGTGTCCTGTGGATTGGGATCGACATAGGAGAACCTGGCACAACCTTGAGCACCTTGGTGTCCCCAGGGGGCTGCTTTGTAGTGGTCCTTCTTGCCCCCTGTCTTACACAGACCATGGGATTGCGTGAGAGAGGAAGAGAAGAGAAAAGATGAGGGAGAACTTGTGATGGTTGGCAGGAGGTGTTTTTTCCTCCTGTTCAAGAAAAACAGTTTGTGGTGCCCAGTCCAAGCCGAAAGCATCAACCTCTCTTTCCCCTGAATCAGCAGTGAGAGAATGGTGTGAATGTGTGGGTGAAGACGAGAGAGAGAGAAGGGAGATGGAACTGTGGTGGGGAGACATGTACAGCTCCACAGCCCTGCACCGTCTGCTCCCCCTCCTCTGGCTTCACCCAGGGGACACCAAGGTCACTGCTGTCCCCTCAATCCCAACCCACTCTGCGCTCTTTGCCTTGGTGCCCTGGTACTACTCCCATCTGGTCCCCCAAACCACCCTTAGCAGAGTCCATGCCCTCGGAAATGCTTCTTTCTTGTAAGAACCGGCAAAGGAGAGCGACGTATTCCCATCCTGCTGCCCCTTCCTGAGAGGTGGTGATGAGGGACTGATGGAGAGCCCAGGAAAGTGATGGGGCAGAGGGGCATTTGGGGCTGAGGGGTGATTGTGCTGAGCGAGGATGTTGTGAAATGAAGGGTTTGGAGGCACTGTTTTACTCAGCACCAGGCTATCTTTAGCAAAGACATCGGTGACGTTTCTCTCTAACGACCCATTTTAAATGCTGACTCCCTTGAATGACATTTTCGTCATCTCCCAGAACAGGACTCTGCCGCAGAAATAACAGTGACCGGAGCAAGGTCAGCACAGGGGCATCTTCTGAGAACTGCCCGTGTGTGTCCCCTGGGCAGAGGGGCTGACAGGGACGTGTGGGACTCCAGTAGAGCCATGGGGAGTGAGGGGCAAGCTCTGATGGGAGTAGCCCAGGACAGGGATACAGAAGCCCAGCTCACTAAATACTTCTTTGTCCATGTTGGGCATTCTCTTCAGCCAGGTTCCAGACTTACCTGCAACAGTCAGCTTGTGCACAACTTTAATACGCTGCTTTTCTTGTCTCTCTTGACCTCTTACAGGTGCAAACTGCACTTACCAAGAAAAATAGGAATAGAAAACACTGTTCTGCAGTATGATTGAGTTAGTCTTGCTGAAGGAATTTTCCGTTGCATTTCCAGATTTCTGTGATACCATGTTTTTCTCTGAGTGATTCCACTTTCATGTTTTGGTCCTTGCATCATCAAATCTGAAGCTAGTCACAATCTTCTGCTTTACACTGACTTTTTAAAGTGCTCTATAATTTATTTGCAGACTTAACTGACTTAAGAAATCACGCCATGACTTGAAGACTGGGTTATCAGCCATGCAACTTGAGATCAGCTGGTCTGGGTGTTCCTGAGATAGAGCACTCACTGAAAGGACCTCATGCACAACGTCCTGATTGCTGTTTGCCCAGAGCTAGAGCAAACATAACAGGCAAAAAGAAGTTACTTACTAATAAGAGATAACCAAGAACTTTGTGGCGAGGGACTGTAAACAGAAAGCAGCCGGAAGACAGAAGGGAAGGTCTGGCAGGGGATGTGGTGTAAGCAACGGCTGATGGGCAGGTTGATACTCAACAGGTGCCTGGACATGCAACAGGGTTTCCAGGGGTTAGACTGGGATTCACTGTGAGACTTCTGGCACTGACTAGGAAGCTCACGAAGCTAGAGGAGATCTAAGCTCAGCTCCAGAGGGGAAGTAGTGGAGCTGCCCTTCTCCAGTTGCTCAGGACAGATGCAGTGGATCCCAAGTCAACACCTTCTCACTGCAGACGGGCCAAGCAGCAGAACCTGAACCAGAAAGAGCCGGTGCCCGTGGCTTGGCAGCCTTCATATGAGATGCACAATGTGGAAATGCGTCGAAATAGGACCTCTGAGGTAGAGGGATGCAAGCCACTCTTCCCTCACAAAGGACCATGATGGCTTCTACCAAGGCACCAACTGAGATCTCTTCTGCACTTGAAATTGCTCAGCTTCTCTAAGTCCAGGGTGGGTACCCAATGTATGTCCTTTCTCACAGGAGGAAGCAGTTGCTCCAGGCTTCTGTCCCTCTGCGATGCCTGGAAGCAGCATGTCATCTTCTCAGGGCCACGCATCAGAGAGTGGTCTTGGAGGAGGGATCCATTTATCTAAGGTGACAGATCCCAAAAAGGGGTGAGGAGAAGAGAATTAGAAAAGAGAAAGTTCACATCTCCCAGCAGGTCTGGGCAAAACCAAAATGTGCCTCTGCATAAGTGGTAGGAGAAGGAAGAGTGATTGGCTGCCTGACATTTATTGGGAGGCTTTTTTGAAAAGGTCCTTCCTGAATGAGCAATGCCTGAGTCACCACAGGTTTCTGATATGGAGTTGAGGAGAGAGAGTCTAGTGGTGGCCTGTGTCCTGGAATTCCATGGGAACACCTCTAGGAAAGCATAGCTTTATGGAGTCTTTGGACAAATCTGCAACCTCTTTCCTGACAGTGCTAAAAGGCGAGTGACCTTTGTATGACAATCCTCAGCAGACAGCTGAATATCCCAGAGAAACCTGATTTAGAAAGTCAGGAACAACACTGGGAGTTGCTGACTGAAGCTGTGGGCTGCCTTTCTGCTAAAAAAATCCCAGTGATTTCATCACTGAAGAGAATCTGCAGCATTCATGGGCATATTTGGCATCTAGCATCTTGTATCTGGCCAGCATTAGCTGCAGAGAAGAGTGTAACTGTTCTCTTTCACAAGGCCTCCAGATCCTTCCTGAGGGAGAGACTGGATGCTGTAGGATCCTCTTTGGACATCCACAACTACCTGTGGAGATGGTGATGGATCTTAGTACCTTGGTCAGTATCTAGTTAAGAGATGTCTTTGGTGCTGCAGGATGTTTTTGATGCTACAGCCTCTGTGTTTTGCAACAGAGTGGGTGAGGTGGATCAACTGCAAAAATCCACAGAGTAAGCTAGGTTACATTTTGACTCACTTCTCATCACAGCCTTCATGCCATGCTTTTACTTCAATGGAAAAATATGTGTTAGCCTCCCAAATGTCCCATGGCTGCAGTGAGTTTTCTCAAGAGCAAAGAGGTATCCAGGAGCCCAATGCATGCAAGGGCTGGGAGAAGCATGCCAGCTGTGAGGAGCAAGCTCTCAGTTACAGTGACCTGACACTGGGGTGAAGGAGTCAGGCACTGACCCATCATGTCAAATGTCACGGGGGCAGTAGCAGAACAGTCCTTAAAGATTCCATTGACACAGGTATGGGCTGAAAGGAGCTGAGGAATGCTCTGATGGGAGCTAAACCTTGGTCTGAGAGTAGGATTCCCAAAATGTGGTCTGTTCTTCTAGAGGTAGCTGGAGAGAGAGGGTCCGACCCTGGGCCCCAAATGATTGGAAGCTCTAGTGTCCACAGTGGAGCTGGATGGCAGAAAACCGCTGGACATTGAAGGTGGTCCAAAAAGCAGGGGAGCACTGGCAGAAATGGCCAGCAAGCAAGATCTCTGAAAGAGCCATCAGCACCAAGACTGGTGTTAAGTGTGGTGCCAGGACAGGCTGGGAGGATAATGATGGATATGTAGTGAAACCAGGGCACCCAGATTCCCCCAGTGAGTAATTCCTCACTTACATACAA